TTCAGTTTGCAAAATATTACCCCAATTCCACTGGACTAAAAAAACTGGAATTTTACTGACATAATTGGATTATGAGGTTTAAAGATTGATGGAACTTTTCTGTTCCAAATATAATTGTTCAAATACCAAACCTAAACGGATATGTAGAAGTCACCTTACGCAGCTAGAGCCAGAGTAACACTGCAGGCTCCATGGCAGGGTGGCCCAGCAGAGGGGGTCACAACCACGGGAGTTGTAAGCCCTGTTATAGCAGGATCTGGGAGTCTTAGGGGAACATATCACCTTTTCTGCAGCCACAGTCTATCACTAAAATGAAGACTACTTTAGTCACTCTAGTTCCCTCTATGCCTGCTCATTTCTCAGATCTCAGCTCAGGCACCAATGACCTTGGCAGTTTGTTCATACAAATATGCTAGCACTTGCCATACTCTGCTGCCATCTGAGTATAAATCTATCTCCCTGAGGAACAATAAAGTCCTAAAGAACAAGGGCTGGGCCTTACTTGTCTTTGTGTTTCTAGTGGCTAACTTAGTACCTGGCATATTTTTTTATATATACACACATATATAAATAATATATGTAAACAAACGTCTATAGGAGAAAAGAAGGGAGGAAAAGAAAAAGGACATAGAAGGTTTTATTTAGGAGTTTACAGAATATGTATTAACTTATTTATAGCACATGTTTCTTAGCATGCCATGGGACTCATTCCTAGTTCTTTTGACATTCCTAGGTAAATTAATATTGATAAAACCTCTTTGAAGGCACTGTACCTCTGAGCGGAAGAAATCACAATATTACAAACTCTTCTACCAAGTACCTCTCTTCTCCATTACCACTCCATATTTGACTATTGCTTAATACATTTGATTCATGTTCTTCTGCCACAAGACAGTTCCATAAGAACAGAGACCACATCTATTTTTGTTCATTGTTGAATCCCCAATGCCCATGGATGGTGTTCAATAAATATTTGTTGTTGAAAAACTGAATAAATCTAGCACAAGACCAGTCGAAGAGAAGGAAAAGGTAATTAGATCCAAACACTTCAGCATAATATGGACTTTTCTTTATGTTTATTTTTTATTGTCAAAAATAAGCAATTAACTAGGACTACATAAACACGTGAATGAACCCCGGTGCCCTCGGGCAGTGTGTGGGTCAGATGGTTAGTGAGGTGCAGAGGTGAAAGAGGCAGTGTTTCAGAGCACAAAGACAACGACACTGGCACTCTCACTGGTTTCTCTGCTTTCAGCCAACTGCGACCAATGGGTATTTACCCAGGCCCAGTAGACGGGTTTATGGAAATTATCTAGTTTTAGCTAAACTAATCCTTACAAAATAGCTAAGTGGCTAAAAAAGGACTATTGCAAAGATCTACAAATTGAAGATAATACTAAACTAATAATACTAATACCAGGAAAATGGCAAAGTTGAAACTTCTTCTGCACCTAATCTGAATTCATAATCAGCCACATTATGATTTCAAAACGAGTGTCAATCACATGCTACCTAGCAGATACTTAAAAAAAATTTAACACACTTAATCTGTCTCTTCAAGGTAAAGGTGACACTTTAACAATGAGAAAAAAAGTTATTGGTTTTTGAAAACAAAACAACCAACTCAAGTTCTGAAGATAAAATTTTAAGAACAGATGTTTTGGAATGCTTCCATTGTTATACAATTTGGGAGCCTAAAATGATCTAAAAGTATAAACTACAAAACTGCTCCTATCTATACATTTAAACTTTCTAATCGAATTTTCTAACTAGTTTTTAAAGATGCCAACTTAAGAATAACTAAGAATTATGAATCCATTTTTTAAACATCTAAAAATGCAACACCTTTCATTAGTCCACAAGAACCGACTGACATCATGAGAGACTGAAATTTATTAGCTGGATTTCAAAATGAATCTAAATATAATTGGTGAATAGGATTGAAAAATGAGTATTATGATTTAGTAAGCTCAGCTCACTTCTTCGCAAGATAAGAGGATGTATCTTTTTCAGTTATGATAACCATTAAAACCAAAATCAAGTACCAAAATATATAGAACTTAGAATCAGACCTTTGAGTTTCCGTATCACAAGTTATTAAAGCAAAATAATAAAAAATTAATAAATACTGCAATCACATTGCTTTCACCAAAAGTATTAATATGAACATCGTTTTCCACACTTTTTTAAATAAAAATATTTTAAAATTTATTTCATTCTCATTTTTCTACTTTTATGTATGTTTATAATGTACATAATAAGTTAGTAAAGCAGTAAAGTACACTTGTAATTTTAAAATAAACACACATATGTTATTGGGAATGCATGTTCAACAAAGTTTAGAGATTACTACTGAAGGCATCAGGAAGCAGTTGAAAAATTTTAAGCGAAAGGAGTAAAAGAATCAGATTTGAACTTTAGAAACATAATCCTAGAGATAATAGGCAGGGAGAAAGTGTCTGGAGGTTAAAGTGATTTTTTTAAAAAATCCCTGTTTACCATGCTAATAGCAGAGAGCATCCCATACGCTCCCCGTATCTTCAGATCCTTTCACGAGATCCAAATGACACATGGGTATATTTGAACAGAGGCCTTCTGCAGAGAAAGGCCTCCTATTCTGTAATCTAACCCAGAAGACAAGGGGGACAAAGAAAAAGACAAGGTGGAGCCATGAGAGGGGAACCTAGAACAACACTGGGCTCTGTAACTGCTGAAGTCCCTGTTTATGTGTAGGCTAAGAGTCAGACTAGGAAATACTGAGCACCTCTCTTTTCTGATATTCCCATTTATAATCTCTTAAAGTTTTTTAAAAAAATAATTTGAATAATAGAGCAATTTATAAAATGAAAAGTAAGGGGCCGGCCCGGTGGCGCAGCGGTTAAGTGCACATACTCTGCTTTGGCGGCTCGGGGTTCGCAGGTTCAGATCCTGGGCGCGCACCGATGCACCACTTGTCAAGCCATGCTGTGGTGGCGTCCCATATAAAGGAGAGGAAGATGGGCACAGATGTTAGCCCAGGGCCAATCTTCCTCAGCAAAAAGAGGAGCATTGGCATCAGATGTTAGCTCAGGGCTGATCTTCCTCACAAAAAAAGAAAAGTAAAATATTGTTTAACTCCTACTGCTCCACTGAGTCCACACATGGTAATCACTGTCGACAGCTGGATGTATTTCCTTGCAGACCTTTTCTATGCACATATATACTTTTAAATGTACATATATATGTTTCAGTGTGTGTATATACATTTATATAGGTTTTATATTATTTGACTTTATAAAGAAATAGGCTCATATTCATATTATTCTGAAACATGCTTCTTTCACTTTGCAATATATGATGGCCATCCTCTTAGGACAGTCCACATGGATCTAGCTCCTTTTTTTGCAGCTGCAGGGAATGCTATCTTACTAACATGACATAGGTAATTTAATCATTCCTTTATTGATAAACAGTAGCAGTGTTCCTTCTACAATAAAGCAGCAATAAACATTCTTGTATATATATTCTCGTTCACTTCTTTGAGAAAGATGGATTCCTGGAAGCAGAGTTTTCGGGTGAAACAGTAGGTACATTTGAAATGTTGATAGCTACTGTGAAATGGCTATACTAACTTATACTTCAAACAATAAAGTTCAGCCATTCATTTTGACCTTCTTTTCTCATTAAATTTTTTAATAGAGTTCTAGATTTAAGAAAAGATGTCTGAAAACAAGTCCTCAATTTGTATATGAGAAAATAAAGGTTTAGAGAGAGTAGGTTTATGGGCCCAAGATCTCAAAGCCCCTGACAAGGTAACACACTGGCAGGAGTTCCGTGAAGGGTGACTACTGCTGAAAGCCAGGACAGCACCTTGAGTTAACTGACTTCAGATATAACGTGTGTTCTATCAGAGCTACTAACAAATAGGAAAGGGGACTGACTAACTGTCATCTCATTTTCCTTGCCTACTCTCAGCAAGAAAAGAAAAAAAGGCAATAAATTCCTAAAAGACACAATAGCAAGAGGGACTAGAGAAGGAAGATTCTCAAACTAGGTGGAGTAACGGGCACCAAGAGCTGAAGGTATCATAAGTTCAGCTGCATTGAAGTGAGCAAGTGTGGTGGAAAAGCCTCTGACACGGGATGACCTTAGCAAAAAAACCTTCCACAGCCTCAGTGGGGTGTATGAAAAGTTTCTTGGTTCTAAATATCTCCATGTGGCATCCAAAATGAATGCCAGTACTGAAACCAAATTCTGAAGAGAAATATCAGAAAAGAACTAACATCCCACAATGAAGAAACATCTTCAAAGAAGATGTTGTTATAAAAATACCACAAAAGTACTTTCCAACAAATTCCAGCCCTAAAAGTAAAGCTTTAAAATGAAGCTCCAAGCGTGGAAGTCTTGAATCCTTTGCTCTGTCCCTGAAGAGGCCCATTTAAAGGCAGGCACTTCTAACCAGATAACACTGTCTTTATTCAACCAGACCTATGGGGCATAGCAATGAGGAAAGAAGGTGGCAACTTTACCTTTTGAAATTAGAATGGTCTAGAATAGGAGTCAGCACACTCTTTCTATCAAGGTCAGAGAGAAAATATCTTACGCTTTTCAGGTCATACGGTCTCTGTTGCAACTATTCAACTTTGCTATTGTAGTGCAAAAAAACAGCCATAGACAGTATACAACTGAATAAGCATGGCTGTGTTCCAACACAACTTTACGGATGCTGAAACTTGAATTTCACACAATTTTCATGAAAGATTATCCTTATTTCGACTTTTTTTCAACCATTTAAAAATATAAAAACCATTTTTAGCTCATGGGTTGTACATCAACAAGCAATGGGCTGGATTTAGCTCGCAGGCCATAATTTGCCGACCTCTGGTACATAGCTCTTCTCAGTTGAACTGAACTTGAATCTTGGTGGAAGATGGCAACATCTGAGCCTACCTCTTAGGAAGGTTAAGTTAGAAAGCAGAAAGGTAGAAACATGTCATTCTTAAAGAGTTTCAGATATTTACCTCAAATCTCTTCTCTTGTTGAATTCCTCGGGTGGAATTGTCCAGGGCAGGTGTTGAGGAAGACATTCTAGAACTTCTGAAGAGAAATCAGAGAAATCTACACCATATTCTGTTAGGATTCCTTCTGTTTCAGGCTCGATTTCACCAGCCTGCCCAAGACTCTTAGCCAGCTGCCTGCAGACAGGACAGAGAGGAATAACTGTGTTAGTGAATAAATTAAACAGTAGGTACCTGTTTCCTCTCTAAAAGTGACGGCGGTAGGAAAGTCTTCAAACTCCTGCCCTTCCCCCAGCAGGAATCCCATCACCAGTGAATGGGGGGCCAAGCAGAAGAGACAATGATACTCGTGTCCTATTAAATCCATGACTACAACGTAATTTCATCTTTCTTCAGGAATTCTGACCTGGGGTGTGGGGCCAGATGGCTTTTCTTAGGACTCCTGCAATTGTTCTTCACGGAGAAGTCATATTGATATGGTTAAAAACTTTTGCCAATTCTTTCTCTTGCAGGGGCTGGCCCCGTGGCTTAGCGGTTAAACGCACACGCTCCGCTGCTGGCGGCCCAGGTTCGGATCCTGGGCATGCAACAATGCAGAGCTTGTCCGGCCATGCTGAGGTGGCGTCCCACATGCAGCAACTAGCAGGATGTGCAACTATGACATACAACTGTCTACGGGGCTTTGGGGAGAAAAAGGGGAAAAAAAAATGGAGGAGGATTGGCAATAGATGTTAGTTAGCTCAGGGCCGGTCTTCCTCAGAAAAAAAAAAAATTCTTTCTCTTGCAAACACCTTTAGAGACAATTCGGATCAACCCAGTTTGCTGTTAAATCATAAGTTTCAGAGTGCCTATACCTTAAGTCATGCTCACTAATTAGATCTGATGTTCATGTTTATTTCACAATTCTACTAATTTTTACCTTAATATTTTAAAATATTTTATCTGAACACAAAAGTAATATACATTCATTGTAGAGAAGTTAGAAAATACAGAAATGCACCAAGAAGAAAGTTAAAATTATCTATAATCCAGTCACCCAGCAAACTACCATTCACATTGTAGCGTACTGGTCCATTAAAAGTAAAATCGCATTTAATAGGATAGTCTTGATATCATGAGTAGGGTTCCATATTTTAGAGGGCAGATCTCACTCTTTATCTATGGGTCATCTACACTTATATCAAAATTGACAGCTCTCCATTCTTGTAAGTATTGGCATGCCATATACAGACCACAAGTCTAAAGTCACGTGTTGAACACAGACAGTCAATAGGAAATGTGATATGAGTCTTGAAACAATTGCCTTTGTAGAGGGTGTTGGAAAGAGCAAAGATAGACACCTCCTCTATTGTACAGGTCTGTTCATCCACCAGTGTGATCCAGGAATCCACCCTCAGCTCTCCCTGCAAAGAGTTTAGCTCTGGCATTAGGACCCTCTCTGGGGCCATTCAATTTCTTTGAAGATGATTCTGTTTCCTTTGTAAGGGCAGATACCTGGCCGCCAGAGTTCTTAGGTGCACAGTGGTAGAAGGGGACTGGGGAGGTGGTTGCCTCGTATGCAGACTTTTAACAAATTCCCATCTTCAGCCTTGCTCCTAGAACATGGCAGCAGTGGCAGCAGGGCTGGCCCCATTTCTCACACACCAGCCAAGAGAGCCAGCCCACAGCTGACACATACACCTGCCCACCAGCAAGGGCTCTAGGTAGCCTGCGGGTTGACCTATTGGCTCCAGGTAGCCTGTGGGCTCCTCCCTCACACACACTGTGGACTCAGACCAGTGCCTTCTCCTCTTTGAAAGATCTCATATTTGAAAGATCCACAAATATTTGGAAATTAAACAATCCCTGGATTAAAGAAGAACTCAAAAAAAGAATTAGAAAATATTGAACTGAATGAAACATATCAATATATGTGAGAAGCAGCAAAAGCAGTGCTTTGAGGGAAATTTATAGCATTAGATGCTCATATTAGAAAAGAAAAAATGTATCAAACCAATGATCTATGCCTATACCTTAAAAATCAAAAAACAGAAAATCAAATTAGATCCTAGGTAAGCAGAAGGAAGGAAATAATAAAGAAACAAGAATCAATGGAAAGAAAATGAACAAACAATAAAAAAAAAACACAAAATCAAAAGCTGATTCTTTGAAAAGAGAATAAAATAAATAAGCTTCTGGTGAGGCTGATCAAGAAAAATAAGGAGAGCAAGTCACAAATTACCAATAACAGGAATGAGAGAGGAGATATCATCATAGATCCTGCAAGCATTTAAAGGATAATAAGGAAATTATGAATCACTTGAAGCCAATAAATTCAGTATCTTGGATGAAATGGATAAACCTTTGAAAGATACAAACTGCCTAAGATTATTCAATACTTAAATATTCCTATATCTGTTAAAGAAACTGAATTCATAGTTTAAAACCTTCACATAAAGAAAACTCCAGGCCCAGATGGCTTCCCTGGTGATGCTGTGATTTAAGACAGAATTAATACCAATTCCATACAATCTCTTCCAGAATATAGAAGAGGACAGAACACTTTCCAACTAGTTTCATAAGCCAGCATTACCTTAATACCACAACCAGACAAAGGATTCATGAGATCAATATCCCTCATGAACACAGACTTAAAATTCTTACCAAATATTAGCAAATAGAATTCAGCAATACACAAAAAAGGATAATACATTATGACCAAGTAATTCGATATTTGTCCAAGATTCAAAAAATCAACCAATATAATTCATCATATTAGCAAACAATGAGAAAAACACATACAATCATCTCAATGGATGCAGAAAAGGCATTTGAAAAAAGTCAACATCCATTCATGGTCAAAACTCTCAGCAAGTGAGTAACGGACAGGAATGTCCTCAACTTGATTAAGGGCCCCTACGAAAATCCTAAAGCTAATACCAAATTTAATGCTTTCCTCTGGATCAGGAAGAAGACAAGGGTGTTCACTCTCATCATTATTATTAAATATGGTATTGGAGGTCTTAGTGAGTGCCATAAATCAAGAAAAAGAAAGAAAAGGCATACAAATCGGAAAGGAAGACTTCCATATTGCAGGTAAATGGGCCAAATGACTACAATTCCCATCATAGAAGTGACCAGCCTCCTACAATAATGCCTGGCCTCTCTTTACAGAAGACCCCTCTCACTCTACGAAAACCAGTAGCCAGCATGCTGTGTGTTACTTAGACTCTGCCTCACCTCAAGACTTTGAATGTGAAGAGAAAAACACAAAGACAAAGAAGTGCTTAGGATTCATTCACAGTAGCTAGAGTGGTTTCTAATGATAGTAGTGGTGATGGTAGCAGTGCCCAGTGGCAGTGGTGCCCTGCAAGAGCAGTGGTAAGAACCGTTGGCATCATCGTGAAACTAACCCTGATAAAAAACGATGGTTGTACTTCTTGTTCTTGGTTCTCCAGAGTCACTTTGGTTCCCACCCCTTTTTCAAGTCGTTGAAGCCTCTTACTGCTTCTGTGAGCCCTTCAATATTCTTCCAATAGATTCCTTTTCTGACCAGAGTTGGTTTCTCTTGTTTGCAACCAAGAATCCAGACAGTCAAAGACTCAGGTCTCAATTTTCAAAATGCTAATTAATTTTCAAAATGACCTCATTACTGTGTTCACTAGAATGAAGTTCCCCTTGAGGATTTGGGGGACTTGTTGTCACTGCCTTTGAAATTTGAAGGATATTTTGGAAATTAATTAGTATTTCGAAAATTAATGGGACTCGAGTTACCCATCTAAACCATTTATTATTCTCACAGGTTCCTGAGGTTCTGTTTTCTACATTCATCTCTTAATACTAATGTCTTTAACTATCTGGGTTCTTGGTTGCAAGCATGAGAAATTAACTCTGGCTTGAAAAGAAATTTATTAGAAAGATATCAAAGAGCTCACAGAAACTGTGAGATACTTGAAGAACCTGAAAAGGGGGTGGAAACAAAGACTTACATGCTCAACCTCTAAATTCTTGATTCTAGATTAAGATGGAAACTCAGGGACTTTCTACATATACCAAAAAAGTATTCTGAATCTCTTGCAGCTGCCAGGCTAAGACAGAAAAAAAAAAATTCAAAGGGTGATAAATCATCATTGAATTCAGGGTCTCCCTAAGTCTCTCACATGAAGAGCAGGGGTACTAATCAGAAAGAGTAAGACTCAGAGAACCAGACCATATATATACACACAAGATATTATCTAGGAGGATGCAGAAAAGTCTCAGTACCTTGGATGCCTAGTTCCAATTGACCTTCCATTGTCATGAGTCATAAGTGGACTATGATACCATTATTCTAATGAGTGGTCTCTGAAAAGACAATAGAACAGAAACTTTCTCCCTGGGGGCAGAACTTCAAGCGATATATCCATGGCTTGGATATACTGCTGCTATATCCAGGACTGCAATACTTGGCTGAGGAAAGATGGCCTGATGGGCAGTGGCTACAAGTTTAGCCAGATGGAAACGGACCTGAAAGAGGAAAAATTGGAGGACCAGTGACAAGGACATCTGGGGAAGAGACATGTGGATGAAGTGCGCCTACTGAAATGAGCCCAGAGTATGACTATTTGTGTTCCATGAGAATGTTCAGCAAAAGACTTCCACTGTGGAAGCAGAATGATCTGCCCTAAGAACGTCAACCAACCTCCTCCCCCACCCACTGCAGTGCTTGCTCAATGGGCATAAGAACAAATACATGGTAGCAGGAAATGAGCTCCACAGCATGAACTCTCATTGTTGATTCCTGGCTACCATCCTTGCAGGATGCCAGTTTGCCAGCAGCAGCAACCAACTCTGAGCCTCTGATACAGAACCACAGTAGGAGGACCCACCAACTAGTTGATAGCAGGCTGAGTTTGCTCAGCTCTTCTATGATGACAGGGCAGTAATTTCTCTCCAATAAAAGCAACACTAATTCTAGGTTTGGCTTTGCTACCTTCAAAGTGCTACCCACCTTGCTTATATAAACACTACAGTCCATAGATTTACCAAATACCTTTTAAGCTATTATGTTATCTCACTCAACATTGTTTGTCATCAAGGATTTCATCGTATAGAAGCAGCAAAGCCCAGTGAATTCACTGATTAGAATGGTGTAATAATGTACTAATGGACTAAATCAGGAGGCAACATCTGGCGAGGTTGGAGCGCTATCCTCCAGG